ACAATACATGACGGGACTACCACACTGATGCATCGTCCTAAAAAGCCCCGGCTGCGATAGGCAAGATGCCGACAACGGGGAGGAATTTATGATATACCGTGTATATATGTATATTTATGTTCATTTTGTACATTTCTAAAAATAAAGTTTAATGGAAATACTTAGTAGGCCTATCCTTTCTTCCCTGAATTATTTGCTCCTATAACATATCATTCATATATAGCAAACCATGATTTGATTTCTCATCAAACAGTAGTAGTTTATTACAGGTAAAAATAACTTACTCTTTGTTATGACCGGCTCGTAGGCCACAACGGAAAGACAAGGAGACATGCACGAGTTTACAAAACCATGGCACATTTATTGTGGTAAATGCAGAGATAGGTGGTCGAGGGGAGAGGATCACCGAGTTCGTCCTTCTGCAGCCGCTTTGGAGAGAGACAGGGGCCGCCGTGTGACTCCGGGCAGCTGGGCTTAATAGCACCTCGGCTCCGGCCAGGTGTCCGTGATCGCGCTGATCAGCCTCTTCAGCTCCACCCCATCGTAAGACCTGCAACACACCTGCACAAAGGCCCTGGGGCCGTCACACTCTTCTATAACAACAGTTGTAGGTACAGTTCGGTTAGTTAGCGTATAAAATATACGGCTGTACCAACGCCATTATAAGACTGATGTTCCGAGAGCGAGCCGAAAAAAGCACTGTTAGACATGGGCGGAGCCTCTCTGGTGGTTGACTAATCAGAACAGAGTGGCCGAGCTGACCAATCGGAGCACACTAGGCTCACAGGGAGGGGGGGGGCAAGAGCTCCAACGAGTCGTTTAGTGGAGAGAGTGAATACTGCTGAATACACATACTTTACAGAGATGCTGTATGCGAAACCAATGTGAGTTTGGAAAATTGCACAGTATAAATCTATTTTAGTATACCTCAACAATGTAATTATGATCAGTGGAAATGGCCATGACATGGGCCCTTTAAAATTGTTGGGGTCTGCACCAGGTTTCTTCAGTATGGGCGTGATGGCGGCTGATTTGAAAAGTGAGGGAACAAGACCAGAGGTGAGGGAGGAGTGTATGATGACAGTTATAAGGGAGGACAATGAAGGTAGACAGGCTTTTACCAGGGGGGTAGGAAGAGGGTCTAACTGACAGGTAGATGGCTTGGATTTACTGATGAGGTCAGATATTACAACAGCAGAGGGAAGTGTGAAACTTGAAAGAGAATGAGAGAGAGCGTCGGAAAAAACAGGGAGAGATATACTGCAGGTGGTGTTAGGAGTTAGTTGCTGGTGAATGTTTTCTATTTTGTCATTAAAAAATGACATGAGGGAGTTACAGTAGTTGAATACTGATGAGGTGCAAGAGAGTCCGGTGGTCGTAGAATGTTCTTCACTGTAGAGAATAGTTGAATGGTTTATAGCTGAAAGTAGGCTGAAGGAGTTAAATATTAAATGTAAGTAGTAGTGAATGAATGTGTATTAAGAAGAGAAAAGAAAGTAAAAACGCTTTGAAAAGCATCAGAATATTTTAACTGCAAACTTTTGAACTAAAACCAAACGTCACCAATAACGTATAAAATATGTGGAACGTGTTAAAGTCAGTATGAAGTCTCCATCAGACAGAAAAGAATAGGACATGTCAAAATGTCAAAAATGTGTACTTTCGGGTCCATAATGTGGCATTTTTGGCAGATTTACTAAAGGTGTGCAGCTGCTGCTCTGAGGACAGATCAGGCTTGATGTACAATGGGCCTGAATGGAGACATGTTGAACGTTTTTGTCACTTCATGGTATTTATACTTCAGGAGGCATTTTGTGGAATTCTTTTTCTTAATTTTTTTTAATTTTTCAACGTAGGAGAGGTTTTCCTACGTTTTTCACAAAAAATGATGTTCAAGGTGTAGGGTTTGGGAATTATAGTGGAATGCTGTAAACAGCATTCGCACTAATAATATAAATACATTGAATTAATTAGTTATTAAAAAACAGATACAAATAAGTTATAAGATAATAACATATAGGATAAGATATACTTTTATTGATCCCAGTTTGGGAAATTATTTTGTCATGAAATACAATTTTATTAAATTACAAAATAATCCTAAACAGCAAATATCTATGTATAAGCAATAACAAATAAACAAATAATCAAAACAGAACAGTACATTTGCAATGTATACCGAGATGAATACAATATTAATATACAGATTAACATATATAATTGAAGTCAGTGTACTTTGATTGGCCAGCCCACAATTAACAAAATGTAAACAACATAGGCTATTATTTACATTATAAGTTAGCGAGTCGATAAAACTGGGGTCTCGTCGAGTTTGATGAAAGCTAACATAGGTTCTGCAGTTCTGAGTAGCGAACATAATATAGAGGTAAAATAGCAGTTAATTGAATGAATTGGCTCATAAAAAACAGATTAAAATAAGTTGATAGAGTTGATTTTTTGAAACCGATTTAAATAGACAGCCCGTCAGAAAGATCTTCAGTTGACGTTCCTCCTAAAACATAGTCAATAATCACTAAATATTATTGCGGACCTATAGAGTGCCACAGTGACGCGTCCTAAAACCCGGAAGTAAGTTAGCATTTTACCACTTCCGGTTCCTTCGACAAAAAAACAACGCAATTTCTCCATAGGATTTTGGAAAATAGCTCGAAATAAGGTCTGTGGACACAAATTGAAGAGACAGATCACGTTTTGTTCAGCCGGATAATATCCACATGTATACCCTACTTTTATAATTTTCGAATCATAGATTTATGATTAGAAAATTATAAGAAGAAGTTTACTTCCGGGTTTTAGGACGCGTCACTGTTGCACTCTATAGAGAGGCGAAGTCCCGCCCATCTACTTCCGACCCATGGGACCTTATTTCGGAAAAATTATGTATTGAAGTCAATGGGGAGAGAAAGATTATCTTTCGATCCCGTTTGAATTTAATTTAAAAGATAATTTCCATGTAAAAAAAGTCACAGTTTGTCATAAAACTGTTGAAATATAAGACTATGAAAAATACGCAACTAGAAAGACTACAAATCCCAGAATCCCGGTCCCGCATGCTGGCTCTTACGGAACCGACTAACACCCCTTTTTAATACTTTTCGCCTCATTTTGAAAGAAAGAAGTGAAATGTGCCAACGTGACGGCCGTCTTGGTGTGTGGTGCGAGACGGGAGATGTAGTTCATTGAGCGGTTTCACACAAAAAAAAGTGTTACTTCACAGTTTTACGACACATTTTTATTTTTTTGACTTGCAAAATTATCTTTTAAATTGACAAACATCATATGTGCAGTGGCGACTGGTCATTAGGGGCAGGTGGGGCACAGCCCCACCTAGTGTCAGCAGAAAGTATTACAAATAATGATTACAAAAATGCAAAAAAAAAAAAAAAAAAAATATATAAAATATATTTTAAGATCATGTTTAATCATCTGATTCGTCTGTACATTGCTGTTTTAGTATGTGTTCTTCTAATTAGTGTGTCTACAGTCACAGTGTGTGCCTATTGAGCTGTTTAGAGCCATGTGGGACAAAACCTGATTATGCCCCTCCCTCTCGCTGTGAAGTCAACGGTGACTGTAAAAACTACACTGCGCATGCTCAGAGTATTTTGTAATGAAATGTGTGTGGCAAAAAAATAATGACCAGAGGGGCATGGAGCTACCATCCCCACCATACGTCATCTCAAATCATTCAGAGCTGATTGGCTGTAAGTACGTGTGCCGCGAAAAGTGTGGTGTGTGAAGAGGAGACGAGAGAGCTGCAGTGACGCGTCCTAAAACCAGGAAGTAAGCTGCGCATGGCTTCCCTCGACAAAAAAGCAATGAGATTTCTCCAGAGGATTTAGAAAATAGCTGGAAATAAGATCTGTGGGAAACGTACCTGTTAGATAAATGCACGTTTTGATCAGCCGGATAACATCCACATGTCTACCCTACTTTTATAATTTTTTTATCATAAATCTATGGATTAGATTTATGATAGACTTTTGAAACTACAAGAACATAAGGAGGACTTTTACAAAAAAGTTATAGACATTTTTGTCCAGAAGGATAGGCAAATGGACTTCATCTTCAAGTCAAGGTAAGACCGCAATTTGATTGAAAATGGGATCTTACTAAGAGAGAACAATTCAATATTTAAATGATAAAATTACATTTTTTGGGTATCCTTTTGTTGAACTGTCTGTTTAAAATTAATCGAAGCATCAGACAAAAAAAGCTTTTGAAAATAATATTATATTTTGGTTTAGGTCAAAATATAATATTTGTAAACCTGAAGAGTCAGTGCCAGTGCCTCACCAGCCATGAACCTCACTGCACGTCACTGCAGAAGCTTATATATAGACATCTACGTTTCTTGTGCCCCACCACTTTTGTACATATAAAAACGCCACTGCATATGTGTAATTCGTGGCACAATTCAAACGGGATCGAAAGATAATCTTTCTCTCGCCATTGACTTCAATACATACTTTTTCCGAAATAAGGTCCCTATAGGCTATATTGTAGTGCCGATATTTAAAAAAGATGACAATAAAAATCTGAAATCAAAAATCAATACACCCTTTGGAAATCATACCACTGTTTAAAATAAAGATCAAATAGAAAAACCTTTGCATAACCTATACGTAAGTCACATTACTTTTTCGTATCTCTTTAAAAGTGAATTCATTTGTGCTTAATAAGGTTGGCCGTATGGCCTATACAGCATGTCATGTCCTATGAGTCCTAGACTGTTACACAACTAGAAAAACTTAATAAGTTAAGAACACAAACTCACAAAACAGCTCCCAAACAGTCCACACACAATGTGGATGTCGGAGTAAAGCCGAAGTAGGAGTGTAGTGTGGCGCGTGCGTATCACAGGCGCGAGCGATTCCGACCCGAGGGCGTGGCTACATCAAAGGGGGAGGAGGAAGGAGCGGAGAAGGAGAGGAGTGAGGACTGGAGGCGAGCGGAGGTAAGGGGAGGGGAACTGTAGTCGCTCCATGACATGAATGAACCATGTTCGGTAACGGAGGCTTAGCTCTCCCGGTCTGCTCCTTTCTCCTACTACACCTCCCGGTTCTCCCGCTCACCAGCAACTGGCCCGTTAAGGTAAATAAGAGCTGTTTGTTCCCCCCTTTGAAGCGGTGTCCATTTGCAAAAACCTTATAAAGGGGGACTGGGGAGTTTGCTAGTTAATCTTAGTCTGTCACTTTGATTCTGTCTTGCTTATTGTCAAGGGCGCTGTGTAGTTTTAACTGTGAAGTAATTCCATTCATCTCATATTTAATTAACACAGCAACAATAATGCCTGAGATAAACTTCGAAAAACATATAAGTGTCATTGTGTATGTGAAGGCAGGCTAACTGTTCCCAAATGCGGGAATGTCACTGTTCCCTTCGGCGAAGCTCCTAGAAACGTTTCTAGTACGAACGCTGCTGGGATGCTGGAGTCATGCAGCAGCAGGGAATGAGCAGCAAGGACTGTGCGAGCTGTGGTTTCATTACATCTTGAAGGCAGAGGTGGAGGAAGTATTTAGATGCTTTACTTGAGTAAAAGTACCATTACATTATTGTCAAAATACTTCATTACAAGTAAAAGTTCTGCATTAAAAATCTTACAAAATCTTACTTTTTACCTGTAAGTAAAAGCATTATCAGCTAAATGTACTTGTAAAATGTAAAGTAAAAGTAATAATTGTGCAGAAAAATGGCCTTCATGTCTGTATATAATTATATTTATATATTTAGAGATAGTATGGTTGCATCAGATAGCATTTTACTGTTGTAGACACAAACAACGTTCTTCTGACTGACTTTTTGTAAAAGACTTTGACTCTTTTATGACTAATAACACTGTCACATGGCTGTGACATGGGTAAAATAAGGGTGTAATGGTGGTGTAACATGGTGTATTAATGTCAAATATGGGTATAATGTAGAAAATAGTAATCAATGAATTTTCCAAAAATATATATATGTATAAATGGGATTTGGCGTAGCCTTCACATGAAATAAACATGACCTTTTATACTGTGTATAAATACTTTCTGAGTTGGGGGGTCCATGTTTTGACTGTCATTCTTCCCCTGATTCAACTGGGCTGTCTGTTTATGGTGCTGTAGCTAAAAACAGAAGCTTTGTTCACAATACCGCTTCATCCATTGGATGTGACAGAAACAATGCATGCAACTCTGCATGTTTTCGAAAGATAGTTACTTGTTAATAACAGGTTGATTATAAAATGTGTTATTTGTGTCTTCTTTTGTCTTTTATCATGTTATCTGCAAAGATGTACATATGGTTATTAAGTTACTTCTAAACATGATTAGGTGGGTTACTTAAAAAAATTACTATTACTACTATAGTTACCTGTAAAAACAAATGCTCTCAGTAATCAATCTGATTATCAAGTAATGCAAGTAATTTAACCTGATTACTTTTGGATTGCATCAATATCAAATGCAATGCAGATACATTCAATGTTTTTTACTTCTGTGTATTAGACAACAGAACAATGTGACCTTAGAAAAGAATAAACCAAGATATTTAGGATCAGAAATGATTTTATTGATAGGAAAACCTGTCTTTCATGAAGCATATTCAGGCAGTAGCCTATACACCAACACTGAAACACATGAGCACATACTACAGTTTAAAAAAGCAGAAATACAATCTGAGCTGACAGAAAATGCTCTGTTTTAGTTTAATACACACAGTTAAGCTCAAACACACTATTTTATGAACATATAGGTTCACCTGCTGAATTAAAAACAGAACAAATGAAGCAAAGAAAGTGAAAACCATAAAGCAGATTCAGGCAGTAGGCGTATAGATTCACTCTTAAGAGTATTACCCTACAGAACAGTACAGTTTACAGAGAAGAGAGAACATCTGATCCTTTACAAAAACACTATATGCTCTGTTTAGTTTTGAGTAACTCTCCCTAGTTATCCCAAATATTTAGAAATGTGACAGTAATCTGAATACGTCTTTTTAAAATGTAACTGTAAATGACTACAGTCATGTTTATGTTTGATGTATTTGCATCAGGTTTTCGTAATCCTGTTACAGTTAATCCATTACTCATCAGGCGTGCATCCAACATTAATTTACTGCGAAATCCAATGTTTTCTACTACATAAATCTTACATGGATTACAAATAAAATGTTATTTATTCTAGTGTCAAAGTATCTAGTGATATGAACATTTAGTGTAAGAAGCAAATATGTGAATCCATTCTCATAGACTGCAGGATAGACTCTGAATAAACATTACAGGAAAATAACATCACTGACTTACCATTTGGCAGCACTTTACAACACTTTACTAAATAAGCACCATTGATCCTCTGCCTGACCAAAAGGCTCACACAGTTTGACTGCATGAGAGTAAAGGAGACAACAATTGTTTGCAGACGATTTTTCTTAGCAGTCCTTCTTCTCACACATAAACACATGAAGGAACCGAACATTAATTTATTGTTTGTCTGTTAAGCACCGCCTTTGTCATCCAGTATTTTAATACTTGCCAATTCAAGAAGAAAAAAAATACTGTAGTTTAAGAGGTCTTCGTGTAAACAAATAATTGACTACACACAAAATGGATGGCAACAGTTGAAAAGTAAAGCTTACAACCACTGGCAGGACATCTAAAATATCATTGTTGGCAAAGAAGAAGACATTGTGATCCAACGCTGCTAAAGCACTTCTTTGCAAATACTTACACACAAACATAATGCACCATCGCCACAGTGAGGTAACGCTTTTATTTAAAGGTTTGAATGTATTGTGTAAAGAGGATTTGATGGTTCAACCGCATGCTCACTGCAGGTAACAGCTGTGTGCACTCAAAGGTTTATTGGGTAACGTACTATATAATAATGTATGCTCATATTTTCTACTTGTTAAAAACCCAGCCCTTGGAATTAACATTTTCTGTTTGAACTTTGCAACGTTGTGGATAGTTAAGTCATAAACCATGCTATAAATGGCCATTTCTAAGTTGATTTCTATCATAAATGTTAACATGCATGAAAGGCTGTCCAGCAGTGTAGGTCAGCACTGTAACCTATTCCAGCAGGAGAAAGCTGTTTTAAAACTTGTTCTTGAGTAAAAGATGAGATTGTAATACTCTCTGACAAGTAAAATTCCCTTATTCAAAGATTCAAGTAAAAGGATAAAAGTATAAGCACCAAAATATAATTAAAGGGGACCTATCATGCAAAATGCACTCTTTTACATCTTTTATACATGAATATGTGTCCCCGGTGTGTCAGGGAACTCACCAAGTGTCAGAAAATACAACCCTCTCTCTTTTCCTCTATACCCAAATCTCTAAAAACGGGGCTGCAACGGATCTGATACAGACTGATCCAGATTTGAATTATCTTCTACGTCACAAAAGTGGTCAACTCTCCACCTATCAGGGGAATGAGAGGTTGGGCCACGGCCGGCCATTGCCGCTCGAAAGTGCTGGAGACGCTGTAGTACATATGCCAGGCCTGTAAGTGGCGCTGTAGTCTGCCACAAAAGCAGCGAAGAAGACTTCCCTTGCATGGTTGCCATGGTTGCCCTTCTGTTTATTCTCCGCTGTGGCTTTTTTTCTCCCTCCCCGAGGCAAGCGTTTGCGCCTCCTGCTGCTGTAATTCAATGCAATCCCTCCCCGTCGAGGCAAGCACTGTAATTCTCTCCAGTTAGTCCACCAGCAGATGACAAACACCGACCTCTCCGCCTCTTCCAAGGAACGAGGGGACCGTGCGGCAGAGTTTCAGTTAGATTTTTTTCCGCTGGTCAACATGTCCGTTAAAGTTTAAATCTTCTGGACAAAATTAGAAAAGTGCCCGTCAAAGGTCTTCTTTGTTATTTATTGAGCTTTAAAACAAATGAATAACGACTCTATATAATCATATGTAAGGGATAATGTGCAGCGACGTGGTCATTATGGGGAAAAGAACACCGACAGGCTGATCAGGAGCCCGACGCGAAGCGGAGGGATCTAGATCGGCCTGCCTTATGGGGACAAAATGGAGGGGAATCATTAATTTGAGGGTGAAGACTTGGTTAGGGTTAGGGTAACGGTAAGGTTAAGGGTAAGGGTTAGGGTTAGGCATGTGTTGGTTATGGTTAAGGTTAGGATAAGTCTCCAGGAAATGCATGCAAGTCAATGTAATGTCCCCTGAAGTGATGTATACATGGTATGTGTGTGTGTGTGTGTGTGTGTTACTAAGACTGGACTTGGAATGTGACACATCCTTCTGATACACAGCAAACCAAATCAATACTTGCTCGATTGAGAATTTACCATTAGCACTAATTTGACAAACTACATTTGACCCTGGGTATACAGATAGTTGTAAAGAGCCTACTATTAACCTTTGTGAAGGGTTGAAAGGGTTACTCTTTTTGTTCCTATATAGTCACCTTGAAACATTATTTTATCAGTAACCTAATCTGAGTATCAAAATATTAAAGTGATGTAACCTGATTACTTTACGTTAATTTTGGAGTACCCTATCAAGTTGAAATGCAAATAAATACAAGAGAAAATAAATATCAATAAGATGTTTCTTTCTTGAGTATATTATGTGAGACAACAGATCAACGTGTCCTTAGAAAAGGAGAAACCAAGATATTTAGGATCAAAAGTGTTCCGATTAAATTAAAGTCAAATTCAGTATTTTAGTTGAATAAATCAGCTGTTTACCTTCTGTATTTAAATAAAGGTTTTTAAAATAAAGAAGAATGAAAGTCAAAATGAAACCAAAAACTAAATTCAGATACTCTGTCTACCTATAATAATAGTTATCCTAATCTTTTTTAAATCTGCCAGTAATCTGATTATACATTTTGAATGTAGCTGTAAGAGAATACAGTTACCTTTTTTTGTAGTCCTTTGCATAATTCTGTTACATGTGATCCGTTACTCTCCAAGCCTTTATGATTGCAAATATAATATTCTATATTCTTAATTCATAATGTTCTCACTGAGCAGTATGCATATGTATCCATTGTCACGCTCACAGATACAGATCAGAACCCAATAGCACGACACAGTAGGGATGCATATCGTTGACTTTTTTACGATACCGATACCGATACCACTGAACGAT